TTTGTCTTAAATATATCTATATTTTTTCAATATAATTTTATTTTTTGTTATTTGATTTATTACAGAAAATTTTGATGACTGAAATGTTTATTTATTTATAATTTTATATTACTATAATTTTAGTGACGTATAATTATTTTATTTTTAGTGCCATTGTTCAACGTGTACTAAAATATAATGCACATTAGGGTGTCCCAAAAAAACAAAAAAAAAAAAAGTTCTCTAATGATTCCCATTCTATGTGACGTAAATAAGTACTAAAAAAAATTTGACGGTTTTATTTTGACAGGAAGTGCAAGATGTAAAATCTGACTTTTACTGTTTTAATGTTAAGCTGGCTTAACATTACTAAAAACACAATTTTTTTACATTTTAGAAAATTAAAACAAAACAATTGAATGCGTACAAATCATTTCCAATTGTTTTCTACTATTTAACTTGATAGATTATATTTATAAATATAAATAAAATACAAAAAAAAAAAAAAAAAATTAAAAAAAAAAATATATATATATCTTAGAATATTAATATTTATTAGCAAATTTAAGATTTTATTGCGGTGAAACATTTCTCAAAAAATACAACTTTTTGAACAGTTCCCAAGCTCCTTTTTAGTCATACTCTTAGTCAAGTTTTTTCTAGACTTTTTAACTACAAAAATTACATTTTGAAGGTGATCTTCATCTCTAGTAACAGAAAAAAAAATCTTTAATGAGCTTAACGTTTCTTTCTGCACCATCATTTACAACAGATATGTTTTTGATCTATACAATAAAATATAGCAACTGAGAATGGTTAAAAACATCTATAGTATTAAGACTATTATTGAGCCGTTCTTTTATACTTGCTCTTGATATTTTAAAATGTTTGAAGAGAAGGTAGCTTTGCTCAGAAATCAACTCAGGTAGCTCTGTGGTCTCTCCAATTTGTACATTTGATAGTTTACAACGCTGAAATTCATTTGGCTCTTTAAACTCAATCAGAGCAAACAGCATTCTTAGCTATGTTTCATAAAGAACTTCTTTATCCCCAAAGGACAAAACACAGTGTTGCGGAGTTAAGTATGGCATCCCATGCTGAGAAACAAAGCATTTCCAATTTTCTAATTGACTTTTCTTAATGCATCGGCTGTCTGGATAGCTTTCAAATCATTGTAGAGAGCCAGAATCCTAAAATATTTTGCAAAAACCATGGAACATAGCAAATTGTAATGAACAAACTTGCATCCTTTAACTGCAGCACTTCTTTTTCTGTCATGATATTACTGATATCTTTGGTCATATAAAGAGTCAGGATGTAGATCGCATCTGTTAAAAACCTTGCCTCATGGCAGGCGCCAGGTTGATGGAACTTAAAATTTTTTACTTCCGCTCTAAGGAAAAAGGAGGCAAGCTTACAAACTATTTCATAATCATTCCTTGAAAACACCATATCAGTAGTTGCATTAGTCAAAAATTTCTTAGCTTCCTCTGCAACAGTGCGAAGAACAGAGCAATCTTCAGATCACCTCTTTACCAGTCCAATTTACATAAATGTCTCTCTTCATTAACTTTCTCACAGATTTCAGGCCACTTGTTCTTAGCTTGACATAAAGAGTTCTTCTTGGACCTTTAGTTTTCTCACCAGTAAGAGCAGCCATATAGTGAGATACATGTACTTCATATATGTGTCTCCTACACATTATCCACAAAATTGGTATTTTCAAAATATCTGTAAGAATTTGGACTGCTCCATTGACTCCACCTGTATTGCTTGCAGTTGTATCACAGCATATACCAATGATCTGCTCTTTACATCCATAATATTCTAAAAGATTGTGCACTTATTCTGTTTGGTCAACTCCCTTTGAAGAGGGACATTAAACAACACCTAAAAGATGGTCTTGCATGGTATCGTCATCCGGGGAACTCACTGAGACTGCAAGTTGCTCGATTTTTTGAATAATGTTAAGCCCAGTAGTAATTTATTCCAACAGTTTGGTATCAAAATGAAGAATAAGCCGTCGGTTTTTAAGATAATTAGTTATTGAAATCCACTCCAAGTCTCCTTCAAGTTCTACATATTTGAACTTTTTTCTATGAAGTGTGCTTCGTGATAGCGGTATATCATTAATTTCTATACCTCCAGCTTTAAATACTTCACTTAAAATTGCCAGATGAGGTCGTACACCAACATTGAACCTTTTTGCAGGAATAGCAGTACATTCAATGAGTTTTTCAACATTCACTGCTAGATTTATCCTCTCTCCAGAATTGCACCTAGATATCATTTTATAATACTTTTCTACCTATTTATAATTGTATACTTTTTCAATAAAACAGTTTTAGCTTGTGAAAGTTACAAATATGTTATTAAAATAATACTATACCTGCGTTTCCGACCGTTACCCAAGAAATCTTCTTCCTCGCTGATTTCAGAGTTCTCGTTTGGCTTTTCTTCTTTACTGCTGAATTGAATACCTTCTGTCATGGAGTCATGCAGTGGCGGAACTTCAAAATTTGGGCCCCCCCCGCAAAAGAATGTTTTTTTTGCGGAAAAGAGCTTTATAGTATAAATATTATTGAGAGTATAACTTTTTTTATATGAGGGTTTCCTAGAGCTGGTAGCCCCCCCCCCCCCGCAACGCAGGGTCCTGCGTCCAGTAGTTCCGCCACTGGAGTCATGTGACAACAAAACATCATTGATATCTTTTACGTTTTTCTATCTCTCTAATTCTTTCTCTCTCAACTTATCTAGCTTTTCTTTCTCCAGTTTGCATCCAGTACTCTCTGACTAAAGCCTTCGTCAACGTTTGTTCCCATACATCCTTTTCTATCCAACTTTTGGTCTTCATAAAAACTAAGAAATAGTTAACTCTATAAAGGCAATAAATTAATAATTGTTCTAGTTTTTACTGGAAGATGGCCAAACCATGGAAGGAGTTAAACTTAAATATTTTAAAGGAAATGCAACTACTTTAAAAAACTTAAAAAAGTTACTTTAAATCGGAAAAAAAATCTCACTACTAAAAAATTGTCATTTAATGAACTTACTTAATATCTTCCAGCTTGGCATCACCTGTCTCAATCTATCAGCAAGAATATCTTTTTTAAATTCTTAGTGGAGATGTCAAAAAGCTGATAGGATTCTGTGAGAAAATCTTTCTCTAACTTTGATTGCTTATCAAGGCTGCTGTTCCAGTTTAGAGAAGACAATTTAATCAATTTCTTGTATTTTAGATTAAGTTTAATGATTTTGGTTTTTGTTTTGTATCCAGAAATCACAAAATTCTTGCCAAACCCAGCATTATTCCAAATTTTTTTAATCCTAGTTACCGAGCAAGATATATGTATGTATGTATGTATGTATCTATATATATATATATATATATATATATATATATATATATATATATATATATATATATATATATATATATATATATATATATATATATATATATATATATATATCGACACGCACACACAGATATATATATATATATATATATATATATATATATATATATATATATATATATATAAATATAGGAAAATTTGAATTAACTGGATGCGCACCGCGTATTTAGTTACTCATTAACTAAACAGTTTTATGTATATATTTATCTCCAGTTACAATAATTTACAAGACAGTGCAATAATGCTTCGTTACAAAAACTAAACGTGCTCGTGAAGTACAACGTTATTAAGAAGAGAAAGCGCGGTAATATATCCGCCAATACAGTTCAACACAACAAGAAGTCATTGTCCGCGCAAATGAGCACACCGCGCTTGATTTCTTTTTGGACTGTTATAGTACAGATCATTCAAGTATCATATCATAATTTCAACTTTGTATTACATTTTTTAATTTGTTAATTACCTTTGGCTATGAACATTTGTTTTTTGACTTAGCTAAAGTGTTTTAGATTTAAGCTGTTTCCAGGCCATCTATTACGAAATCCTTTGTACTGATTAGCCTCCAACAGAAAATACTTTAAAACATAGAAATAACTACTCGAAATGTGTAAAAACTTTTTGACTGAAACGCTGTTCAATTAACCAATATCCTAATAGAAAGAGATGTAATTTATTTTAATAATTTTAAGATGATATATAAAACGTTATTTTAATGTATTATATTAAGAAGCGTAATTTATTAAAACTCTGTGAAAAGGGCTAATGGTCTTCTTTGAGTATCCGCGTTTTTGTTTTTTTTAGTGATATCTTCACTTGTAACTTTTTACTTTTATATATTTGTATTTTAAATATTTTAATAAAGAACAACAACAACAATAAAAGTTTTAGAATAGACTTTATGAACCATTATATCAAATCAGATCAAAAGTGCTGCCCATCTAGTTTACGCAAATGCTGAAAGCATCAGTTCAATTTATCGAAAAATTTCAAAGATCTTTGATACTGACGGATTGATAAGAAACAAAATAATAAAAATAGCTTACAAATAAAATTATTGTTGATTTAATTTAATGGATTTGTTGAGATAATATAAATAATGAAAATAGTTAAAAATAGTAAATTGGAATTAAAAAGAAGTTTTCAAGAAAAGTTTGCAATTAGCTTCTTAATAGCATATAATAAATACTCAAAAAAATATAATATATAAAATATTTTCTCTTTAGAACAAACAAAACAACAACAAAAAAAAAAGTGTAGGAAAAGAAATTTTGAAAATATTGGAATTAATGGATAATATTTTTTTAAATAAAATGATAGCATTGTGATAAAAACTTTTACATAAATTATAAAACAATTTGATTTTTCAATTCCTTATCATTTTGTTTTCTTCTTTAGTACCATACGCAGAATTTATTTCGTAAACTATGAAAAAATGACCGATAAATTATGAACAAATAATATAAACTGAAAAAATAAGCTGGCCTACGCCAGCGAAACCTCAATCATTTGAATCTAGTTTCAAAACAAGAGTCAAGTCAATAATGACGTTTATAGATTTTCATTTATAAAATGATGCTAAAAAACATTAAAAAATAAAACAAATTAGATTAATAAATATTACATTATAAACACAAGCAGTATTAAAAGTTTTAATAAATTTATTTGACTTCTAAAAAGTCATCAGAATTCAAGTACTTCGGTCATTAAAAACCTGAATATTTCGATTAAGTAATGAAACACATATTGAATTCATTATAGATGTCGAGTTCTTCGTTAACATTCTAAAAACAATTAAAAAGTCGGACTTGAGGTTTAACAAAATCATCATAAAAAAATAACGCAAGTCATAACCAAATATTATAATGGTTATTCCCACTGAATGACAAATATTTAAAAAATTCTTTTAAATTTGTAAAAAATAACGCAAGTCATAACCAAATATTATAATGGTTATTCCCATTGAATGACAAATATTTAAAAAATTCTTTTAAATTTGTAAAAAATAACGCAAGTCATAACCAAATATTATAATGGTTATTCCCAATGAATGACAAATATTTAAAAAATTCTTTTAAATTTGTAAAAAATAACGCAATTCATAACCAAATATTATAATGGTTATTCCCACTGAATGACAAATATTTAAAAAATTCTTTTAAATTTGTAAAAAATAACCCAAGTCATAACCAAATATTATAATGGTTATTCCCAATGAACGACAAATATTAAAAAAATTCTTTTAAATTTGTTAATACTTTTTTAAAAAGTTTTAGTTGACAATCGTTAATTAGATTTAACTATTAACGGTTAAGTTCAAACACTTGGTTTTTCTTCGCTGAATTCAAATTCTAAACATTCGCTAATTTACTTGAGAAACTTATATTTATGATGTTTCGTCATTTTAACATACCGATAAGTTTCATAAACTATATTATAATATACAAAACCTGTTTCATTTATAGAATTATATTCTAATATTAAATAATAATGATTTCATTTCGAAGTAAAAATATATATAGAACAAATTTAAAAAAGCAATAATGAAAAACTTTAACAACAACAAAAAATCAGAACCAACGAAAAATATTACTTTAAATTTGTAAAATAAAAACCTTAAAAATTTTCTAGAAAAATCTGAAATTTTAAAGAAATCTTCGTCACCTAAAGAACGTCATCTTGAAAATTATATATTAGAAAAAAATAGTGCAGAATGTCATTTGCAAAAAACGCCCCTGAAACGCCTCAATTTGTGTTGCATTTTATGTACTTATTGTACTTATAATTATTATATTATAGGTACAATAATATATAATAAATATATAATTATAATAAATAATTATATATTTATTATATATAATTATTTATTATAATTATAATATATTAGAAAACAAAACATACTTAGTAACTTGTTTTACCTTTAAATTTTTTAAACTTAGAAATTTTAAAATATAAGAAACATAAAATAATATTATGGTGATTAGTTAAAACTTTAAAAAGTATTTTTTAAATTTGGTATAAAAAATTGCTTAACATAAATCTACAACTCCCTGTCTCATCATGCCGGCCATCTTTATTATAATATAAGAAATTTTAAAAAATGAATAATAACTATATAAATTTATAAGAATATTATATATATATATATATATATATATATAATTTAAAATTATATAACATTAAAATGAAAATTGTTTTCACCATTTTATTTTAAAGGACTTTTTGTTGCACGTCGATCAAGTATTTCAAGCAGTTCCTGAACTTCTTTTACCAGAGATTTACGTGCGTTTCTTAACTCATCACTCGAATTAGCTGCAACTTTATCAAGCAAAAGTAATTGCTTTGTAAGCATTTCCTCCAAATATTTGTACTCATTTCCATCTTTGAAATATAATAACATTCTATACTTTTTAATATTTTTGAAGTAAACAACATTTTTTACTTCATTTATATATGAAGGACATTGAAACAATATACTTATATATGAAATGTATTAAAATTATTTATAAAACAAAATGAACCTTTAGCTCCTTTAAATTTCACAATATCATCAACAAATGAGGAAATATCTTCAGCGATTTTCCTAAGTTTCTGAAATGGAGTTGGTGGCTTGCTTTCAACTGGAGTTGGCAACACACTTTGATTTTTCATAGGCAATAAATAATGATCTGATGTTTGCTGCATAAAGTTTCGACCTAAATTTGATGAAGTTATATATTGCCCAGGATTTGACATCGGTCCACCCCCTGGCATAATAACAATTGGCTGGTTGTTTTGTTGAGAATGTTGCTGCTGAGGTATGGGTACTTGTTGAGATAAATGTTGTTGTTGTTGTTGTTGAGGTAAATGTTGCTGTTGAGGTATATGTTGCTGCTGCGGTAAATGTTGTTGCTGCGGTAAATGTTGTTGCTGAGGTAAATGTTGTTGCTGAGGTAAATGTTGTTGTTGAGATAAATGTTGTTGCTGAGATAAATGTTGTTGCTGAGATAAATGTTGTTGCTGAGGTAAATGTTGTTGCTGAGATAAATGTTGTTGCTGAGGTAAATGTTGTTGCTGAGCTAAATGTTGTTGTTGAGATAAATGTTGTTGCTGTGATAAATGTTGTTGCTGAGGTAAATGTTGTTGCTGTAATAAATGATGTTGCTGAGATGAATTTTGTTGGTGTGAGAAATGTTGTTGCTGAGGCAAATGTTGATGCTGAGATAAATTTTCTTGTTGAGATAAATGTTGTTTTTGAGGTATATGTTGTTGCTGAGGTAAATGTTGTTGCTGAGATAATTGCTGGTACTGAGATAAATGTTGTTGCTGGGATAAATTTTGTTCCTGGTGTAAATGTTGTTGTAAGGGTATATGATGTTGCTGAGGTAAATATTGTTGTTGTTGAGATATATACTGTTGCTGAGTTAAAATATCTGTTTGCAGTTGTGGAAAGTACTGTTGTTGTTGTTGAGACAAAAGTTTAGGTTGCTGTGACAAAAGCTGTTTTTGAGATGTATGATTTTGAGCAGAATATGGTTGTTGAGATTGCAAACGAATTGGCGGAACTATATCAGTACTGGTCATAGAGTTTACAGGTAATTTTGCAGTAAAGGAAGGATAACATTTTTGAGATTCATATGATAAAATTTTTGGAGAAAGTTCTTGCTGAGGAAAAACTTGTTGTACGCTATTAACAGGATACAACTGTTCTGGTAAATAACTTTGGCGAGATTGTTCATGAAGATACTCTTGAGCAATATCTCTTTCTAATTGTAAATTTGCCTCATAATCTTCTTGTATTAGTCGAAGTTGTTGTTGTAAATGAGCTTGTTGTACCCGTTGTACATATTGTTGTTGCATTAACTTCTTTTGAGCTTCTAAATCTTTATCTAAATAACTGTTTGATTCATTTTTATTAGCGCTGGTTGTCAAAGTAATTTGACTGGATGTCAAAGGAACAGATAGTGGATTAGAACTAACATAATTAATAGAAGTGTTTTCGTTCATTTTAGGATTGCTCAAAGGATCTGATAGTTGATTATTACTCTGTATACAATTTGAGTTAAGTTTAACATTTGTAGATTTTTGCATGTGTTTGTCGGTATCATGCAAAGGAGGTTGTTTCTCATCTTTTTCATTGCATTTATAAGAAGTTATTATATTATTGTTTTGTACCTTATACAACTTCTGTACAGCTGGAGCTTCATTATAAGTTGAAGCTTTCAATTCATAACACTCTTGAACTGCATTTTGATGTTGAGGTATTGGTTGAATGTTCAGTTCAGACTGCTGATTGGTATATTTACTTGTCACTTCATTTGATTTATATAATAAAGGTTGTTGAAAATCTTTTGGAACTTGTTCCAATAGGTAAGCTTTTTGAAGAGATTCTTCTTTAAAATATTGTTGCTGATCTTGTTGTTGATCAAGATGTTGTTGTTGTTGTTGTTGTGAAAACTGATGTGAGTAATTTTGTTGCTGAGAAACATGTTTTTGTGGTGATTGAGGTTGTAAAGCTTCAGAAGAGTTATAAAACTGCTGAGCTTGTTGCAAACTTGTTGGTGAGTAATAAACTTGATTAGATCCATCAGCCATATCCACTGTACCAGATCGTACTCTTTGTTCAAATTTGACTGAGTCTATCATTTCAACAGTTCCTGCGCGGCCACGTTGCAAGCTTTCGAGAGAATCCTGTTTATTAGCATTTACATCACTCATTTCAACAGTTCCAGAACGTATCCTTTGTTGGACAGGATAAGCAGTTTGGATTGTTGATTGTCCAGAATGATTTGAACTGTAAACTGTTTGCGGACTAACTTGTTGTGAAATTCTAGATATTTGATAATTAGATGTTTGAAATAATGAACTTCGAGGAGGGATGTTTGGCATGCTTTCAACTTCATAGTTTTCAGAACGTGGTAATGGACTGTCTAGTGACATATCTTGTATGTACAGATGATTAAGAGGAGAGTCTAGTTTATAAATGTCTGGTTTATTCTGGTGATTGTGTTGTTTGCGTTGTGCTAATGGTGAAGCTGGTACTTTAAAAATACCATCTTGTACAGGTGTTGGACTAGCTTCTGGTGAATCAACTACAGTAGAGCGATATGCATAATTGAGTGGTCCCTGATCTGAAATAGTATTAAATTGTGGTTGATCCATCATAAGGTAAAAACCTTGTTGCTGGTTATATCCACTATTTTGATAGTTTTGAACTGAATTTGTGTTCAAATGATTGTTTTGATGAGGATATGGAGCTGTATCAGTTGAGTATGAAGCTGTAGCGTTTAAGTACTTTTCTGAAAGATTTTGAGTATATGTAGACAAAGGATAATCAGGATTTGGATATTGATGTATTACACCACTTGGTAATTTAACTACATAATTGTCATTTTTATTTGATTCACTTAATAAATCTTTACGATATGGATAATATTGTTCATTTACATCAGATTCTTGATTTGATCTATGGGTTTCATATACTTTATTATTTTCTAAAGGAGATAAATAAGGTTGATGCTGTGAAACAGATGTTTGCATTCTATGAAGTTGGGGTGCTACAGCACATTGTGCCAAGCTTGTATTATACATTTGATTATTTCTATTAGGACTTAAAGAATCCTGCTGAGGAGACATATATATTTTACTTGGTACTCCAGCTGTTGTCATTCTGTTTTGATAAGCTCTGTGCAATAAGTGATTTTGTGATATAGCTTGATATCTGTTAGAAACTAATTGGGAATTACTTCGTACAAAACGTATTCCACTTTGCAAACTAATATTTTTAAAATGGTTATTCAAAAAGTGTTTATTTTCTTCCTCACTAATTGTTGGAAGCCTTCCTGATAAAATACTGTCAAATTGAGATTGAGGAGAAGAATATCTTGAAACCAAAACAATATTTTTTAATGGTTGAGATGAATATAAGTTATCCATAACATCTCAAGCTAGCATATGATGTAATTACTGAAGAAAACTAAAGAATAAAAAAATCTTATGTGTATATATGTATGTGTGTGTGTTTATATATATATATATATATATATATATGTATGTATATATATATATATATATATATATATATATATATATATATATATATATATATATATATATATATATATATATATATATATATATATTCATATATATATATATATATATATATATATATATATATATATATATATATATATATATATATATATATTCATATATATATATATATATATATATATATATATATATATATATATATATATATATATATATATATATATATATATATATATATATATATATATATATATATACAACCCTCGGAATTAGGAAAAATGAGGTCGACAAGTATTTGCCGACCTCAATCTTTTTGAGGTCGGC